AGAACAGCTTACTATGACAACTACAGTGCTTGCGTCCATATGGCCGGCACTGTCCTACATTCTTTGCATAGTTAAATCACTTAGGGAAGCATTGTCTGTCTCCCTATTTTATAGATGTGGTAACTGAGTAAGTGCTCGTGGAAGACGAGATCTCTCCTTAGGAATTATCACTCCCTACAGCCTGAGACGCAGCCCTACCCTCTGTAGTGTTGTCAGGACTCTACCCCAGGATGAAGTGCCTGGAGGAGCATTCTCTAAGCTTCAAGTTCATGGACAGTTAACCTGGTCCAAAAGGGATGCTTTGCACAATTGCGTATGTGTTAGTGTATGAGAGAAGAGGGGAAAGTCGGGAAAGACTCACTTTGCAGTGTTAAAATATCCATTTTCTGTGTTACCCGAATGATTTAAATCAATAACAATGCTGTGCTTACACATATGACATTCTTTTGGCTGACTAGCATATTTCACTACATTCTGTTTCTGGCTTTTCTCAAAAAGAAACACTTAGCATTAGATGCGGATGATAAAATGGTGATGTTCAATAAACCCTTCCAGAGAAGTGAGTTTGCAATAGTTGCAGTCATTATGTCTAAATCTGCTTTTAAATAATTCAGAGTCGAAAAGCAATGCTAATACTTTCTTCTGTGTACTTAGTTTTTAACATCAATATGAGGCTATGTTTGCTATTCTGAAAGCAACAGAAGACCTAGTCCCAGAAATAAGTAGATTTATCTGATCATGGAAACCGCCTGTGTGAGTTACTCTGAATTTTGAGGATTACGTTATTGGCTGCCCTTTATTATTGGTAAACCTTAACTTTGGGATTTAGTTTCTGAGAATATCGCAATTTGTATTGTATTTGAGGGCTAATTCTCCACAGTAAACACACCTGTGAGAACCTTCTGTTCTCTGGGATTCTCAGCTCAGCAGCCTGGCCAGAGCTAAACTTTTGCTCAGTGATATTAATCAATTAAAAATATCTGTTGACTATTTACTCTAAGCCTAGAGATATTAAGCCGCATAAGAGATTACAAGTAATTTTTTTAAAAGCATGTCCCTAGCCTCAAAGAACTCACGGGAAAGGATGATAAGCAAATACTAAGTGCTAAACTCTTTTAAAAATTGTAAGTAGAATAGGATTTAAGGAAAAGATAATTTTCTGATAGATTGGAATAATATTTTAAAACTGTAAAGATAATACAGTTCTGATATGATTTGCATAGTAGAGTGGAGAATAGGTATTCCAGGACAGAGAGAGGGAGGGAACTATATGGCCAATGAACCAAAGATCTCAGGAACGTGTGGGGAGCAGTGGGAAATGCTTATGTGCAGAGTGTATGTACACAGACATACTTGAAGGAGCAGTGAGGACATGGTTTGATTTGGGAGGCAGGAAGGTGCCATTTTATGCTTTTAGCAGGAGGTAGAACTAAGAATCTTTATTGAACTATTGTGTGTCTGCCTTTATATGAGAGAAATATTTAGATATGCAATATAAAGAAAATTCAGAATCCAATCTATTTTATTTTTGGTGTCTATGAGACAAAATTAATTTTTGTTCAACGGGTATGTTGGTTTCTTAGCCACTGCAAGATTTCCTTGTTTGTTTTTGTTTGTTTATTGTTTGCACAGCAGTTCTATAAATGTAGCAAAAGTAAGGGAGAAAAGATGGAGTAGTACTTGGAATAATAGTGATTTTTTTAAGGGAGGATGATTTCAGTTAACTGGCACATTTGTATAATTATTTGATGTAAAGTAGTGTGTCAAGAATGTGATTCATTGACAGTACTGGATGATCTGTTCCATTCCCAGTCAAACCACCAATATTTAATGATAACTGATACTGGCACATTGATTGGTGTTTTGTAAGACTTTTGCAACAGCAGCAGAAACAGAAACAAAATTACATTTGGAGAATTTGGAAGCCAAATCTCTAGTGTATTTACTAACACACTGTTAGTACTAACATACTTCACTGTTGCAGAATGCAATGCCATTTTTATCTATATATTTAAAAATTTAGGGCTTCCCTGGTGGCGCAGTGGTTGAGAGTCCGCCTGCCGATGCAGGGGACGTGGGTTCGTGCCCCGGTCCGGGAAGATCCCACATGCCGCAGAACGGCTGGGCCCGTGAGCCAAGGCCGCTGAGCCTGCGCGTCCGGAGCCTGTGCTACACAACGAGAGAGGCCACAACAGTGAGAGGCCCGGGTACCACACATACACACAAAAAATTAAAAACAAACCCATCCTATTTAATAGTAATTGTAATAAATTTTCCAGCTCATTTCTGGAAGGTCAATAAATATTTATGCTCTTTTCCAGGTATTCTTTACTTGATGGATTAACTGTACTTTCAAAACCACTGCAATTTATCAGGTAGTAAGTGGTGTTTTTTTTACATTTTCTACTAAAGCAATTTGCAGCTGCTCTAACCTATTTGCAGAAAACTCCTTTTTTGTTCTGTGTACATATTTTGACAACATTCATTACCTGCTAAACAGACCATATCAGTTCTGCAAAATGGTTGACTACAGAAATTCAAATTTAGTTCCTTACTGAAAAGCAGATTTTTGCAGTAATAGATTGGATCATTACATTTTACACTATAAAAGCTTTATACCATGTTGAAAGCAGGAGCGCAATAAAATGTTCAGCATGATACTTTTCAAAATGACTACTGCATCTGCATCTTTTCTACTCCTTAATACTTTGTTTTTCTTCTTCTTTCTTTTTTTTTTTTTTTTTTTTTTTTTATTTGCGGTACGCGGGCCTCTCACTGCTGTGGCCTCTCCCGTTGTGGAGCACAGGCTCCGGACACGCAGGCTCAGCGGCCATGGCTCACGGGCCCAGCCGCTCCGCGGCATGTGGGATCTTCCCGGACCGGGGCACGAACCCGTGTGCCCTGCAGCGGCAGGCGGACTCTCAACCACTGCGCCACCAGGGAAGCCCGATATTTTGTTTTTCAAAACGACTATTACATCCTTTTTATTCTTTAACCAGGGACTTGAAGGCAAACCAAGCAGAAGGAAGAAGAAACTCTCCTGGGAACTGGAACTGGTGGGGGTGGGTAGGGGTAAGGGCTTGGAGAGTCAGGGGAATGCTTGGCTCAAGTTACCCTTGTCTTTGCCACACTTTTGATTTTCAAGACTCGATCATTTTTTATTTTAATAAATTTATTTATTTTTGGCTGTGTTGGGTCTTCGTTTCTGTGCGCAGGCTTTCTCTAGTTGCGGCGAGTGAGGGCTACTCTTCATCGCGGTGCTCGGGCTTATTGTTGTGGTTTCTCTTGTTGCGGAGCACAGGCTCTAGACGCGCAGGCTCAGTAGTTGTGGCTCATGGGCTTAGTTGCTCCGCGGCATGTGGGATCTTCCCAGACCACGGCTCGAGCCCGTGTCCCCTGCATTGGCAGGCAGATTCTTAACCACTGCGCCACCAGGGAAGCCCTTGATCATTTTTTTTTTTTTAATGATTCCTCTAGGAATGTTAAAATATATTAAATTACCTTAGGCAAAGCATTTTCTTAACAATTTTCATTAATATGGAAAATACATTTAAGGGAGACAACTTTCTTAAAAAAAAAAACCCTGCAATATGCGGTTTTGAAGGTGAAAATTAATTCTAGCATGACTGCACTGTTTAGATAATATTGATCATTGATAAAACTTTACTGATTGATGAACCTCTGAAAATTATGTGTTTTGTGTCTATTACATTTTTCTAGAATACCTATCCTTAAAAGGGCCACAAAACTATAACCGAAAAGAAATCAATGCTAAAATTACATTTTATGAGATATGTGGGATGATTACAAAGATAAAAACAAAAACTACTTTAAAGGGCTGTCTACAAGCTATAATTCATAGTGTAGCATTACTCTAGAGATGCATTTTTATAAATAACCAATTACTCTGACAATGAAAGAAGTGTATTTTTTTTTTTTTTTTTTTTTTTTTTTTTTGCGGTATGCGGGCCTCTCACTGTTGTGGCCTCTCCCGTTGCGGAGCACAGGCTCCGGACGCGCAGGCCCAGCGGCCATGGCTCACGGGCCCAGCCACTCCGCGGCACGTGGGATCCTCCCAGACCGGGGCACGAACCCGCATCCCCTGCATCGGCAGGCGGACTCTCAACCACTGCGCCACCAGGGAAGCCCAAGAAGTGTATTTTTTTGTAATATTGAAGTCATAGCTAACATTAGACTTCGCTATATTAGACTTGTCACTAATTCTCTTATTTCTATAGCCAAATGGTATACTTCTTGGAATTCTTATTTTACCTCCCAATGCCCTAAATGTGCATTGTTATCTGGCGAGCGTGGACCATTGTACCTAAAGTTAGTAGAACGTGTGATATATATGCAAAGTAGGCTAATTTCATTACTGTATATATTTTAAACGTTGATGAGAATAATGTACATTTTTCTTATGTTGTTCAGAATAAAGTTTCCCTTGTTCTGAATCTCCATGATATTCTTTGCTCCTTTCATATGCTTAAATAATATTATACATATTATATATTATATACATAATATTATATATATAAATTAGTATTTTGTAAGCATATACTTTCCAAAATATTTCAATATTTCCATTAAACTAAATCTTTTTTGCACAGGACAACCAAATTTATACATACAGAATTTCAGTGTAAAGCATGATGTTATGCATGTGGTCGGCACTTCAGTTTTGCTAAATGAATGCACCAAGTTAACTTAAAAAAAAGAAGAACCCATATGGATAATATACTTCATTTTTATGATGGAAAACTTCCCGTGCCAGTTTTATAAGCTGAGCACATCTAGAAGAACTCTAGCTCTGTTAGTAACACAAGGAATAATTACCGCTATGGCAACACTTCTGAGAATGGAATGTCAGTTCTACCATTTATCTCAATTTGACGGCATATTATCACACTAACCTTTCTGTTTTTAGATTTGCAACGTGAGTGATTTACAACTGAGCATCAGTTAAAACTTTTTTCTTGCCTTTTTCTTCTCCTTTTTAGCTCCTTGTGAAGGCAATACGTTCTTCTGCCACAGTAACATGTGTATTAACAATACGTTGGTTTGCAATGGACTCCAGAACTGTGTGTACCCTTGGGACGAAAATCATTGTAAAGGTAATCATTCGTCCCTGGAATCTGCAAAATCCCTCTACCTGTAGCGTGGGAAGTTTATCCAATGTTTATATGTATCAGACAGCCTTAAAAATATATTGTATATTGGCTTTATGAACTCCTGTAGGTTTTATAATTGATTTGTTAGCCTTTTCCTTTGCTTTTACTCGTGCTGTAACCAGAAGTTTTCACATTCCCTAGTGCGCAGTGGACTCTCCTTAGCACTTGATGTTCATTGGCAAATCTCCTTTTTGGAGCCTGCAGCAGGGCATTGGAGCTTTTCATGCAAAGCAGGGTTTCCTGTCAGAAGCTCCTTCATCTGTGGCTGCACCTCTCACTTATCCAGTCCGTCTTTACCAGACATGGTGCACATACTCTAGAGATAAAAGTGTATCGGAGGAACATTAGGGCTTTCAGGTACCTAAAGCCACTTGCCTCGCCTTCAATTTTCCTACCAAAACGCTCTTTTTCCTTTCCAATGAGAATCGCTTCCAATGTTCCGGCTTCCTTCTCTAGCCTGTACGCAAAGGTTTGTTTACATAGAGAGCATCCCTCGGCTTGGTTATGAATGTTGCAAGTTTTGGTTAAGTTCAAAGTGCCACATATCCTCTTTTGTTCAGATCCAATATTAACCAGTTTGCAAAGGAAAAGAAACGGGCAAATAACGCTCCATGCTTAAAGTCCAATACCTTCTATTAAAATTCCCTCTGTGGATAGAAGCAGAGAGACATTGCCACAGTACCCATGGTTCGCAGAGTCAATAAGAGAAGCCGATCCAGTATCACCTATTTTGAGGAGATGGGCAATGATCCATGTTGTGTCCAAGGAACCACTTTGGAATGGATGGGAAATTAAGCATTTTGTGAAGAACCTTATACAGCACTGTTAGGGATTCGTTTTACTTGCCTAAAGTGGGTCTGTTCCCATGGTTCTTGGCGGCCCACCTTTCTCCATGGACAAAACCTCTGCGCCACTGCTCTGGATGGTAGGGTGGGGCAGGGACAGTGGCTCACTTCTCTGAGAGGAACACCCCTGCTTTATGAAGGAGGCACTCGGTGAGGATGGAGAAAGGGGCCGTCTGGTCTTCTGCTTGTCCCTTCAGGGAGCTCGACGCCGTGAGTGAGCTGCAGCCAGTGTGACCGGGGCCCTGTATTCTCAACCTGCTGTGCCTGGTGTAGACCTTCTTTCCTACCAGTGGGGCCTGGGAGGAGGAGGGGAGACCCCACATTCCAGCCACTCCTGCCTGGAATCGAGCATCTGCAGTATGGATCTGGGGGTGGAAAGGGCATTGAGAAATGCAGGTGGCTCGCCCTTCCTGGGCAGGTACTGTAGCTCCAGACCGGGGCCCTGTAGGGAGAGGAGCCTCGTGTTGCCTGAAACCACCCTGAGTAGAGCTTCTACTGGGATAGAAGCTTCTATTGGGATAGCTTCTGTTGGGTGCAGGAGCTCAAAGGCCACAGACCATCCCTGTTCATAAAGAAATTCAGCAGATTTTCTTGGATAAATGTACCTCCCTTAAGACAACTTCCAGAAACCTTAAATGTTATTTTTTTTTAACTTCTACGATGATGGGGAAAGACCCACAGAAGCCCTCATGCCAACATCCCGTAAGTGTCTGTCTTAAAGTGTAATCACCTTCTGGTATCAGAACACCGTTACTTAGACTTCAGTTATCCACATCAGGAATAAATTCAAAACAATTTAGGTATATTCCTGTTCCCACTAGCGGAGTTTGTGGGGTTTCTTATACCAGGAGAAATGTTTTTACCGTTACCAACTGATTCGCGAATGACATCCTAAAGGTTTTATTAAACCTACAAAACATATATTTGCATTTAAAGTAGGGATGCTGTGCAACGGGAGAGCCGTTTCTAAGGCTAGAAGATAGGGTTCTTGTGAAAAGTGAAACATTTCGTCTCTTTTTAAAGACTTGTTTATGCTTAAGACAGTGAAAGTTTTGTGCTCAGCCTGTTTCATTTAAAGTTCTCCACGTACGTTTGACTACCGTATTAACGCGTGGTGGGTTGTTTCTTGTTTTGTTTGTTGTTTTCACTCTCCTCAACGTGTAGAAAAGAGGAAAGCCAGTCTGCTGGACCAGCTGACCAACACCAGCGGGACTGTCATTGGCGTGACTTCCTGCATTGTGATCATCCTTATTATCATTTCTGTCATTGTGCAGATCAAACAGCCTCGTAAAAAATATGTCCAAAGGAAATCGGACTTTGACCAGACAGTTTTCCAGGAGGTGTTGGAACCTCCTCATTATGAGGTATGCACCCTCAGAGGGACAGGAGCTACAGCTGACTTTGCAGATGTGGCCGATGACTTTGAAAACTACCATAAACTGAGGAGGTCCTCTTCCAAATGCATTCATGACCATCACTGTGGATCACAACTGTCCAGTACGAAAGGCAGCCGCAGCAACCTCAGCACAAGAGATGCTTCTGTCTTGACAGAGATGTCCCCACAGCCCGTCAAACCCCTCATCCCACCTGTGAACAGAAGAAGCATCCTCGTCATGAAACACAACTACTCCCAAGATGCTGCAGATGCCTGTGACATCGACGAGATTGACGAGGTGCCGACCACGAGTCACAGGCTGTCCCGACACGATAAAGCCGTCCAGCGGTCAGTATCTATAGATTTTTTGATGAAAACTGTAACCTGAAGACTGAAATGCTTCCAGAATGTTGTGTTCTATTTTGTCTTCATTTTTTCAGTTTCTCTTTTTATTAATGACTTAAAGCATAGTGTTTCAACTTTTGCCTTTTCTTTTCCTTTTTCCGTGCTCTCCATACTTTTCCTAAATCCCGTCTGTGTACGTGTGTGTATGTGTGTGAGCACACACAGACCAAAGAGAGTCCATTTATTTCTATACACATATAATATTTATTGCTATAAAAATTATGGCTCAAATTTATATGGCTAATTTGCTTCCATGTGGTCCTAAATGTTGCTCCAATCAATATTTATAGATTTTAAGACACGAGATGATATTTGGAAATAATTGCCTTACCAAGATGGGTAACCCATCTTGTTGAATAATTTTAATGTAAAAATAACATATTTTGCAACATAATGTATTATATTTTGGGTATGAAAGTTAAAACACTTTTTTCCACATATCACATAATACTTACATTACAAATGGCATATGATAGCATGGTATGCTAAAACAAGTAAACACTGGTATTTAAATGTAGCAAGGATTAGTAGAAACTGTTTTCTTTTAATATGGAGACAATATTATCTATATTGTATTATTAGACCTAAAATTAGTAAAAGTCTTGAGGAAAGAAGATTTAAATTGAGAAAAATATTACTTCAAATCCCCAAATCCAATCTTCCTATGTTTTGTTTTGCATGCTTACTAGCATTTAGTTTATTTTGTAAGTGTACGTAATTCCTCAATTCAATATATATTCTCAAAACCTAAACTACTTTTAGTTGATTTAATATTTTTGCATGCTGATGGAAAAAATTTTATTTCCACAGTTTTATGAATTTTTAGGAATGCTTTTAAGTAAATATTTGTGTGCTTATTTATTTTTTGTGAAAATATTACTTTGTTGAATGAAATAGCCATAACATTCCAGGTTCTGCCTCATTGGGTCTCTAAGCAAACATGAATCTGAATACAACACAACTAGGGTCTAAAAAGAAAATTCAAGGTAAGCGAATGCCCTTGGTTCCTTCTCCGACTCTGTTGTACTCTGTTTTGTTTTGTTCTGTTGACCGTGTCTTGTAGTTTTTTAGGGAATGTGCTATTTATTCATTCTTTCTTGAGATATGTGTTTCATAGCATTTCACAATTAGAAATATACGGGATTCAATGCTGATGGAAGGATGATTCTTAGTATTACGTATCTTTAAAATAAATGTTAATATTCTTACCATCAAGCATTGTACTACAATGTTATTGAAAAAGATGTTAAGTTAATAAGTTAAATTTTATCTATTTTAAGGTAAAGATACAAACATTGGTGAAGTCTTAAAAGAAATACCAGAAGAAATCCAAGGTTTTCATAATTTAAAAAATTGAATACTGTCTCAATATAACTGAAGTCAGTATATAAAGCTGGTAATAATGGTATTGATTGAATTTGGCAACATTCTACTCAAAACTCATACACTAAGTACTCTGTGGTACTTATACAATTTGTGCCCTCTTATTTTTGCATGAATATGCAGCTTATTTCATCAAAATTAAATGCAGCATGTTATGTCAAATTTTATAATATAAAATTTGAATGCTTGATAATGTAAAATGTTCCATAAATATCAGTTGTCTATGTGTACATCTATTTTGTCATCGGGTACCATAATGGCTTTATTTTTAGCACTTAGAGTCTATATCTCTATTAGACTAATTTGTCTCCAATTAAATTTGCTTGACAGTTAATCTCTTCAAAACTCTTCAAACCTATCAGTTATTCTTGAATTAGGTGAATGCATTTCCATGCTCTATACTACTTTGATAAGTTGGTGTATTTGTGTGCATATTTCATCGGGAGAAAATGTTTTAACTGTGTTTTATTTTCAGACAAGAACTATTTATACAAACATGGGGACTGTGAAAAGAAAATTCTATAGTGAATTGTGAAAAGTGGACATATTTCTAAATTCATTCCACTGCCTTTATCCAAACTTAAGAATTACAGACACTTGTTATCCCTTCAGCAAGACATACCCGCTGCACAATGATATGTTCATTTCGTAATTTGGTTGCTGGCCACCAAGTGCTCCTTAGTTTTTAAATACATTTTGAGATTTACTGGAAACTTGAAGAAATTAGTTCCTGATTAAGGCTATCCCAACTTTATTTTTACTGTCAGTTTCACTTTGTTTCTATGTTGTTTTATGTCTTTGTTAGATAATTGTACATTGTGTGATATGTGAAAAAACACTATTTTGGATGAACTTTGTGTTACATGTACATTGTTTTCATTATATAGACTGCTTGAGAATAGTGCGTTCCTGAGTGATTTTGAACATGCGACAGTGAAAAGTGAGAATATGGACCATGGAAACACCAGCTAGAGGTTTTATGGACTATAAACATCTGTTGTTGTATTAAGATTAAATGCAGCCAAAAGTACCGAGTAAAATTACTGGATTGCAATAAGAAAAATCTCATTTTTCGTCTTTCCTATATACCCCCATTTCCTTTTTTATTTAAAAGAAAATCAAAGGAAGATACCGAGTTTCAGAAATAGTTTTGAAATCAGGTATTTTACCGTTCATACCCTTCAGTAGAAATGATTTTTGATTAAGCACTTAGCAATATGATTGATTGACAGTTTGAGAAAATACCCTGCATGTCAGCACTGGATATTTGAACTGGAAAAATATCCTTTTTATTAGACACATTGTAAAAAGCATGCATTCTCCAATACTGCTGTTACTCTTCCATTTCCTTGTGTCATATGCTTGCCACTTGTAACTTTTTATATAAAGATATATAAAAATGTATACTAATTTCCTAACTTGAGTTAAGAGAAATGCTTTCTTCTGTTAGAGTGAGAAAAACTGACATACGTAAGTACACACTTTATATCTACTCTTTCCACATTTTAGGCTACAGGATGTCCTTTAGTATTAAGACATACTTCTTCAAAATATGATTTCTAAAACTTTATGGAGTACTCAGTCCGCAAGGCAGTCAGAAAGAGTTAAATTAACTGGGGTAAATAGGATTTCTACATTACATCAAAAGCATATGATATACTGCAGCAACTGGGAGCATTTTCAGGATTGGCACATTGTCCTCTTTACAACTAATTTTATCAGAAGAGTTTAAGAAAGCAGACATTGTACCACTATCAAGCGCATTTAAAAGTGCCATGTTTTTGTGCTAATCTGAATGACGTAGCTAGTGAACGAGTCACCAGTAACTTGGTCACCAGGCAAATCAAGCCTGCAAGAAAGGGAGCCAGTATTCAAATTACCATGTTATTGTCTGACCCACAGAATTTATTTTCAAAATAAACATATAACCTCAATATGAGATGTCTAACTAAAGCAAGCACCACCAAGACCAAGACAGCATCTCCTCTTCTAAGGTTTAGGTTTTGCCCAGAATTCTCGATACATGGAATAGCCCATACCTAAAGAAAAAGAATGCTAGTTAAGCATTTAAATATTTTTTTCAGTATTAGAAAATTAAAAACAGTTCATAAAGTAGCTAAAAGTAGCACCCTTGCTAGCGTATGATACTTACAAGGGGACCAAGGCCTTACACTGCTCACACCCTTGCTTTCTTAAACAATTCAAATTTCTAAGATTCTTTTTACACAATTTCCCAAGTATCTCAAGGCCAGAATGACTAGCTCAGACTGTTAAAATATCAATATTTATCTGGCAACTTTAAAAGGAGTTACTCTTGCTGTATAGTACCAGATAAAGTCAATTAATTATAAAACCTATAAAAGCATGTAATATCTTTTCCACCTTCAAAAACTCAATAAAACAGGAATCATGTCTCTCCCAGATGATGGATCTTATTACCGATCCTATTTACATATCTAGACTCTTCAACAAAATTATAAACTCAGTGAAGGGCGGTACTATCTTTTCTTTCTTTCTTTAAAACTTTAGTAAGATTTTACCATAGACAGTAAAACTATGTCACTGCTTGAACTATTTTTATTAATTCAGTTTTTATGTGAAAATGAATATAAGTGATATTTGCAAACTGCTTCAGAGTCAGCTAAAAGTATCTATCTTGTTTTATTTACAAAGAAATCCATTAATGGGGAACCACAGATTTGAGATATCCTGTAGGAACATACCCAGAGTCATTGCTCCCACAGCAAAGCCTTGGGCTGCCACGCGCATGTGGATCAGGTGAATAGACACTTTAGTATTGCCCTTGCTCTTCAATTTATATAAACCATATGTAACGATTGCTGCAAAACCTGCCATTCCTGTAAAACAGACAGTCACAAGATGTCAGATGCATGGGAACAGGGAATCAAGATGATTTTATCATCACTCAATGTTCTATTTTTTTTATAAGGATGCTTTAGGAGACCATTAACCAGGTAACATACAAACTGAGTTTTTAATTTTTCCCCCTCAGAACTAAAAATCCACAATTGGAAGCAAACAGTAGCAGATCCAGAAAGCTAAGATCATCTTTAAAATGTGGGCCTTGTGAAGCCAGTAACTAAATTCCTTTAAGCGTGCCAGGGGAGCTCTTCTCTGCCCTACTTCCATCCCCGAAGGCAATCAGTTAATGTGGTACAGACTGTAATAAACCATAACTGTGAGTATAACAGAAAAAGAAAAACTTTATGGAATATATACTCCTTTTAGCATAGGAAAGTCTTTTTTAAATGCTTTAAAATCACAAGCCCTTTTATGACCCAAATAACACAATTCTGAGTTGTTCTTATACTCAGGCACATATATGGTTCCTGAAAGCTTACTAATCATGGTATGTTTAATATAAATAAAGGAAAATAATATTATAATTAATTGCTGTTGAATTACATACTCTATAAAGTTTGATTTAGTGAGTGGGTACTTTTAAAATATTGAATGTGTATTCTCAGAAAATAATTTCTAGACTCAGATTACTGTAAATCTGCTTACCAGCATTTCCCAAATGGCTGAATTCTACAGAATTTTGTCCTACAAACACAAAGCCATCTGGCCCATCACAATGCCAACCTGGTAACTCAAGCAAGCTCCACAAAGCCAATAGACGAGTTATTCACATACATCCCTGTTAGGAATTCAACTTCATATGTGTTACAGAAACAAATAAATGGGAAAGAAAAAATTTTCTGATAGAAAAATTAATTATCATAGCAATTCTGAATAGTCTGTATTGAAAAACTGTCAAGCCACAGAATCTGATAAACTGGTAAATAGAAAAAATATATCGAACATCATAAAGAAAGATTATTTTCTGTTGTTTTGCTATACATTTTATATACATTATGTTGAAATTTAACCTTTTTTGTTTGACTTGACTAATTCTTCTATTATCATGCCTATTTTCATTCCTTTTACGTCAAAGTTGATGCATCCAGAGACTTTTTAAAGTGATTAGCCATGTTTTATATTACTGTCTCTATTTAGAAATCTTCATAAGACCCTGTACACTTTGAATGAATAATCTCAAAAAGGATGATATACATGTGAACCACTTACTATCCACTGTCCTTTCAGCTGTCCTCAGGACTTTCATCTTTGCAGTTCTTCCTAAATAAGCAGAATGCTTCTGATCTGCTGGTTCACTGCTGAAAGGATATCTGCACCAGAAATCAAGGACTTAAAAAATAAATCCAACTACATTAAGTATAATGATAAAGATAGATTGCTTACATATATTTAACGCACACAGCTCCATGGGAAAACAAAAATATTGAAATGAAGAATACGCCTCTTCAGTGGTAATACTGAGAATGTAAAACTCAATGTATAATTGGGCATTGCCTAATCAGAAAACAAGATAGTGATGGCTCTGAGGCAGGGGCCTGGAAGCATCCTGTTGTCGCTGCCTCAACTCTAGATGCTGGATCTTGAGTGTGTAGGGGCTCCATGATGCCTGCGGGTTTCCTGAAGGAAGGTCTTTAAAAGCCAGTATTGAAATCTACCAACACATTAAAAATTCCTGTTTACTGGCTACCTCAGACCCTGTCACCTGCATATCAAACTTTGGTTTATATTCAAGTGGAGAACACATGTAGATATGGCATGTGACATTTCAAGACTTTCAAGATGTTTCAAATCAAGTTATTTTAATAAATAGTTATATTTTTTGATAAAGTGAATTCAAATATTACTTGCACGAGTGCTTTATTAATCTCATAAGATGCTTTCTGATAGCCTAATTACACACCATGTTAGTTAATTTGAAAATAGCTGTTTTTGTTTCATTTCCCTATGTTTGAATTCACTTTCAAAATCTGGGAGGCATATCATGATTATGTGCAACACCTATGAAACCCTGAATTAAGCTTTTTACTTCCGTCCAAGGGCATTTTAGTTGCCTAATTCAAGGTTGGCATGTTGATTTGGAAATATGATTTTTGTGTACCTGATTTTATACACAGGCCATTTTTATGCATCATATTGGAAGATAGACACATGTAATATTTGATTTACCATAACTCAATTCCATTTGATTAGATAATTGAAATGTGGCTGTAAACTTAATTGGAGATCAATGTCTTTGGGCTTTTAAAAGAGAGCAGTCCACGTTGTAGAGATGCTTGCTTTTCTGTTTTGCATTATTTTTTCACCAAAATTATTTCAATGACTCCATAAACCATTATTCTTAGCATTTAATAAAGTTAGGTCTTTGGCATTTCTTAAATATTCACTTAATATTGAATCAACTTTTTCTATATTTTTCATTTAGGAATTTGGCTCTTCCTCAAATTTGATAGCATTTTTTAAAAATTCCACAAATGGATTTTCCTCAACCTAAGAATATCTTAATAAATAACAAAATATGATACTGATCCCTATTCCTTATTAAAGTAATGACAACTTCTTTATCTTTTGGTGGTAAGATAAATAATAGCATTTTATCTTCTTATGAAATTTGTATATTTCAATGACGAAAATGAATCCTGTCAGATTCCAACTCTGGAGGGAGGTTAAATGAATAAAATCATGAAAATATTCTGAATGCGAAACGCATATGATTTGAAAAGTGAGTCTCAGTTTTGTCCAACTTCGCTGAAGCGAGTTAGTTTCTGTATCATGCGCCTACCTGTGCATACTTCTTCCTTTGGCTCATTTTTGGGATCATACTAACGGTCCAGAGGGTCCATCCAAAACATTGTCAAATAGATAAAATAATTTTTAAAATCAGACTTGAATTAATTATCGGTCTCTTATCCATTTAATTAATAATTCCCATTTCTCTCTTAAAGGTGGAATTAAGTAGCAGAATAAAATATACTGTTAAAATCGCCAGAGATGTGTTTTTATAAATAATCTTGTTCAACAAATCAGAGCCCTTTGCTAATATAGAATTATCCTGATTAATTTTATTAATGAGTTTGTTTAAATTGTACTACGGATTTCTTTACCTGAACTTTATCATTCAAATAAACCCAACAGTGTGATAGAAATAACAAATCTAGGTGACTGACGTCAGGCACTTGTAACATCTCAGCTTTTTTTTTTAATTATGGCCTCTGGTTCTGTACTTTCTTATGTGTTATTAAAGAAGTAAATGCCTTCTTAGTATGCCTTTAATTCCTCAGACTTCAAACTTACTAGGGCTGGTTTCCAGAAGGTTCTTATTCCTGCACTAGTCTGATCATAAAGTTAAAACACTTCTTTGTGTCCATAATTGTGCAGCCAACATGTTCCTGTTTATCCCCAACTCCTATCACCTCTCCAAACTCTGAAGCATGTCGTTTTACATTGGTTCATTCTTTGGGAAAAAAAATTTTTTTTCCCTCTTCTTAATAGACACATATCTAGACACAAAATGTAAAAGTGGTCAGAAAACATAGCATATAAATTATTTAAAATAAAATTTTCCTTATTATGTCACATTATAAAATTTGTGCTCTTTATTCGCTTTCTCATGAGTTAAGTTTAATATCAATACAGCCAGCGTTTTTCGTGAGCCTGTGCAATCTATATACCAGGATTCTTCCTAAGTGCTTT